AAGACAAGGGTAACAAACTCCAAGTATTCTAAAATGCTAACTAATATACATATTATAAAATACTATCCAAAATACTATCTCATATGAATTCTGATACATAGACTTTTTCCAGCACTTCTACCTTGAATTTGATAATCTTTTCTGCAAAGGTATGAAATTCATGTAATACTGAATGTTTTACACTGCCACAAGACCATTCATTCCACCCTTCGGTGGTACAGTATTGAATACAGATTGAAGCAATACAGATTCAATACAGATTGAAATCACCTTCAACGAGTAGTTGAAGCTTCTGATCAATATTGATCAGAATCAATACAGATTGAAATCAGCTTCAACGAGTAGTTAGGAAATAGTATGTTCAGGATGGTACAGGTAATTAACATGCACATAATGCAGTCAAGGCCACGCCATTTCCTAACAGCCACAACTTCCACTTGATCAAGGGAGAAAAATCACACACATGCTCCAAGTCCCTCTAACCTATAACACAGCAGTATTTCCAAATTGTGCACTGATGCTTCCTTTCATTGGCTAAAAATAAATATTACAATAGCTTCTTAATATGCCAGGCTTTTTTTTACCTTCATTTGGATTTCATGTTACTCTTTCAACAGAAGCTAGTACATTTCTTCAAGTACAAAAATAAATATAAATATTCCTGAAAAAAGTACCCTTAAACAAATTAATCTATCTTACAATGTCCCCTTTAGGCTTAAAAACCAACACCAAGGAGGAAAGCATACACTACTCTTACGCAGAGAGGAAAGCACACACTATTATTACGCAGTACACATTTATTGTATGCCAGAGCTCAAAAACAGTTAAGAAAATGGAAAAGTTACTTTTTTTCCTCTGCACAAATTTGTTAATGGGTAACATAATGGTAAGCCATGTTTGCTGGCATTCTGTGAAACATCTACAAATTGCCTCTGCAAAGCATTATAGGTTGTCAGACTAATGTAGTTGAAGATAATTTGGCCTTTCAGTGAATTGAACCTCACAGCACGATTATACTCCAGCACCAAGTAGAGTGTCACAATTATTCTTTCATGCTGAATTACCATATAATGTCATAAGCCTACCTGTCATAAGTCCTGCAGCCGAGCTTGAAATTTTTCTAAATCTATGGTTCATGGCAAAAAAAATGAATTTTTTGCTTCTAATGGAAATCTGATTGTTTTTATCAACAATAAATTTCATAGCAAATCAAAGGATATGCTTGGACAAACAATCCGATACTCAAGGTTAAAAAACACACAAATAATAAATTGCTGGTGTGTCATGTTCAATTTTTACTACTGCATTACACTGCAATAACCATAACAGGATCTAAATTGTTGTCAGAACATTAAACAAACCCCCTTACTTCACAAAGGCATCCTGCCTGAGTAATTCACACAACGGAAACAACTATCACATTTTCCACTGTCCCACCACCATACCATACATCAGTGCAGTTTATTCATTTGGACAATTTTTTGAATAAATTACTTCCATCCTGGCTGCTGTTGCCACTTCTGCTAAGAGACATATCAGTTTTAATTGTCTTTTTGTCTATACTGAGCCACTGTTTTTCTAGCTCCTTCCTGCCCTTACATCCTGAGCACCAAAATAAACTATGACCATATCAAATTGCTTAATGCTAGGCAAGTCAGTCCTCTAAAGATAAATAAATAAATCCTTGAGCTCACTTGTCATTTCCACTGTTATTCACCTTCTCCCCTGAATTCTCTTAAAGAAAGTTGGGGAAGGGGGAGGAGGGGGTGTTTTTAAGGTAACAAACCAGCTCTGACTTAGCCGGAACAACACATTATGCAAATACAACATGTAGGGTTGGTTGGATCAATACTACCATGCAAAATGCTAACTTCAAAACCTTTACCTCAGATGAAATATCTTTCCTGGAAAATAAGCACCAAAATAAAACGTTACAAGAACAGTACAAACAAAACTATTAAAGATCATAATGAGGTTGACAAGACTCCTTTCAATACTCAAAATAAATCCACCTTTCTTTAGTCATCCTTATCCTAACATGAAGATACTAATTTAACTGCATTCAGACGTACACTGGACTAACTCCGTACTTTGTGAAATTAGATGTTGGGATCTGAATAGATCAAAACTGGAAAAAATGCTAAGAGCTTGCTTTTAAATACCAGTTTTACCTGCAACTGAAAACAGTTCACCACCTGATAGATAATCATCAACGTTATGCTACATAAACTTGGCATACTTGTGATCATTAATACGTTTGTAGTTAAACAACTGTATATCAAGTTCTATTTTTGTTAGCTAAAAATGAGTAAATGAAACAGTATTAGTGTTTGGAATAGAAAGGGTGTATACAATTTCTTATCTCACCACAGAGGTAATTCAGAGATAAAGGGTGCAGGCACCCATCCTCTTGCAACACAAAAATGTTCACACTTGGACTGTTGTTTATTCACTGGTTACCATCCTGCCAAAACACAGCCTGGTGTACAACTGAAGGAGAGACAATAATCAGCACAAATGAGCTGTGCCTATACAATATAGAGTTAATGACTTACCATCACATTTTACATTGCCTTTAATAGTGAGCTAAATTGACATAAACTAACCCAAGTCAGATCAGTTTGATCCAAGTCTATTTTCTAAATAAGAGCCCTTTGTGATTGCCGGCAGCTCTGCACAGCCACTCGTACCAGTGACTGTGTGCTGGTGTCCTCCAGACAGAGCCAGACCACTGATCTATTGCTAGGCAGAGTAGAAAAAAGACCTTCTTTCTATTGAATGACTATTAAAAGACACAACTATTTCTTAACTCCTATTCACTCATTAAAAAAAAAATAATTTTTTTCATAAATATCTGTCTACCTCACCTTCCAGAGTGAAAATGAAATGTAACACATGCCCAAAATGTCAATGCCAGACTTATTTTTCCTTGTTAACTAAACCTTTACCAGTTGGTACTATTTATTTATAGCCTCCAAAGCAATAATAAACACAGAACTATGATTTACTTCGAGTCTTTCTATTATTAAAACACTTTGTCTTATTGTTTTATTGATTTACAATCTGTCCTACTTACTTTTTTAGCATCTGAAAACAATCAAGGCACAAAGCTGCAAAATGTTTAGACATTAATTGTTAAGAGACAGCATTTTATTCCAGGCTAGGGGTTTGAGTCCTCAACTGCTAGGCATTCTGGTACGGAAATGATTTATGGCCTTGTAGCAATAACGATGCGGCAGAGCCATTAACATATTGGCAGACCCTAGGATGGATTATCGACATTGATTATTTCATGGACCACTGATATCCATTTGTTAAGAGAAGCTCAAAGATGGCCTCTCCCTGACTGAAATCTTTTACGAGCAGACAGCATTTTAAGTATTAGGAACCTGGGATTTGGGCAATTTCCTCCCCCCACAACCCCAGACCCCCTTCTTTCCCCTTCCCCCTTCACACATTCTACCCCTGTATCCTCTTAGATTCTAACAAAAAGTGTCAAAAATTAAAAGTTCATTCGTCACTATGGTCTCAATTTCTCAACTCATCATAACCATGTCTTCTTTAAAAATTAATGATTGCCAGCATTTAGCCACTGGTTGTTGCTATGAAGATCTATGCAAAAAGCAAGGATCCCTATAGAGTGTGTGATATATGGAATTCTCTTTATTACTACAATAAAACTTACTGACATTTCAATACTTCTGCAAATAGCATTATAGTATCAATCTTCTGAATTAGGTTGAAAATTAAGTTGTAAATTAAAAGAAAGTGTACTTTGGAATACAACATGATATGTCACCTAGAAAAAGACCTTTGTGCATAACAGAGCTGAGCAGAAAAACTGAAAGATAAGCCCAGGTGCTTCTAAAGTGCCTATTTCATCATAAAGGATCTAGGTTATATTTTACAAGAAGAATACAGTCTGAAAGCCCTGATATTTCACCTCAGGAGAACAGATTCAGAATCTCTTTAAAAAAAGATGAATTTGACAGCATCAGCTCATTAGCAGAGATGCCAAAAAGCCTTTGCAAGGGACAGGTGGGAATTTAGGTAGGAGGAGGGTTGGAAGGGTGGGAAGAAAGAGGGAAAGATGAGAAGGGAAGGAACATGGTTTTAGTTTAGTATAGGGCCTTAGTGAAAATACTCTTCTTTCTTGAAATACATTTCCACCTACTTGCGTTACCAGAAAATAACAAATTATATCCACTATTACACTTGAGTTGTGCCAGAAAAGTGTTATATTTCAATCAAAGTATAATTTATAAATACCTTCACTTATGGACCTGTTTGAGACTCTTAATAACACAGGTTAATGGCTGAAAAATTAATTTCTGTGCCCCCCAAGACAGATCTTTCAGTATTTTCTAAAACAGGAGCCGCTAATGAGGTGATACATCAGGCTGAAATTCAAGCCAATATAAAAAAATGTATTCATGTTCACTGTGCGTAAACACAACCTAAAAAAAGTTGGTTTTCAATAGGAAAAAGTGCATACATTAACACCCATACAAGGAAGATGTTATACAGAAGAACAGCTACCAGAATGAAAAAAAAACCTCAGGCCTCCAGATCAATCCTATATATTCAGCAATCTTAATGGTAAACAGTTCCATTACCAACTCCTCTATTTTTAAGAGATTAAGGAGATGCAGTGTTCCCTGGATAAAACCACATGTCCCTTAGAGCAAGCAAGCAAATGAGATTGCAGCATTCCTTTTTTTTAGAAATATAGGATTATAGTATAAAAGTATTAGAAGCTGAAATATTCCTACTCACTAAATGGCTTCAACACTTAGTCACCAAGTGTTATAAAATCCAGAGAGTTATCATTTAGTTTATATTGCTCTCATGAAATGGCCATCTCTATTATCTTTTTTTTCACGTTTTGTATGAAGGGCATGACACACTTAAGGGTGAAAACGGATTTGTTTTTTTGTACATATCACCATCTTCCAAAAACTACCCAAAATATACGTAAGGAAAGGTACTATTGACCTTACCACACTTGAAAGAGCTGGAAACCCACATTACATCTGCAGACAAAAAGGAACTGCACCAGCATCAGTTAAGCAGTCAATCTGATCTGTTCATGTTGACACAAGAAAGTGCAAAAGTGCCCTAGGCCCAGTGACAAAAATCTGCAAAAAAAGCATTAATTTCCCAAGCTTTATACAAACCCAAAATAAGACAAGAATTCATCTACATATACAAAAATCACATGGTTTTACACAAGAATAATTTTTAACTATCTCACAATATTGTTCAGTCATGTTATTGGTTTGAAACTGTTGTGATATTCAATGCAATAACAGAGACTATACAGTATTCATCAACATAGACAAACTAGTCATCTTTAAAGGTTTACAATTATCATGCAGACAAAATGACCTCCAAATTTAAAGTAATCTCTGTTCTAGTTTGGAAAAATTATCATGACCATTCACATACCTAAATTTTAAACACACCACCCAGAAAAAAAGACACAAAACAGAACAAGCTTAGAAGATCAAATGAGTCTCTGATAAGTCAAAGACTTTTACAGCCTATATGCATAGTTCAAATGACATTTGTTTTATTTGATGGAATTCTGTTTTACAGTATTTGATGTGGCAAAATAAGATCTCAATGATGAGTCACTGAATCTACAGTTATAATTGCAAATCTGCAGTACCACGTTGAAATCCGTGCCACATCCATGGCTCTAAAAGTGATGCAATAACTACTAATACCGTTTAGCAATAGATCTATACAAATTTAAATGGACCGTGATTTCTCTATAGTGAACCCTCAGACACGCTGCACTCACCCTTGTTCTTATCACCTAAAACCATTAAACCACAGCTAGTATTAAAATGAAGCCTCTGTTCTGTTAGTTAACTTCTAAATGACTAATATACACAGAGAAGAAACACCTTTGAGAAACAGGCACGAAAGAAAGAAGTGACTCAGAGTCATGTTTGTGAGATTTTCACAGCTAATCACACACAAGACTGATTCACTGCTCACCTCGCTCTGTTCACTCATTTTTCATATCATACTTTTCACTGCCCCATCAGCCTGCTCCACCAAGGTCAAATGAAGGAAATGATAGCACACATACCACACAAAGATTTATTATAAACAGATCTGCTTTCTTCATACATGGACGAAATATGTTACTGACATTACTGTTTGTAAAAACTAAGGTAAGCAGTAGAGGCTATCAGATTAGATATGTAATAAATGTAAGAATTTCACTTAAAAGGGAATAATTTGTCTCTACTTATTTGCAGTGTCTGAAGTTTATTTTTTTTATCAGCAAGATCATAAATATTTCCAACATATCTAAAAATTATCACTGCCACAGAAGTTGAGTACTAGCAAGCCTTTTTTATTTTTCCTTCCTTTCTTATACTTTAATTTAAATATCAAATTTAGAGCATAAATTCCACGTCAACCATATTAACAAAGCAAAAGATTCCATGAATTTATGTATGGAACAATTATGAACAAATGCACACCCAGAAGACCAGACACAAAAATAGCCTGTTAACTACAAGGGCTGATCTGCAGCATGTTAATAACTAACAAAGCCAACTGATTTGGCTATCAGTAAGCTCCTCCTCAGAAAGCAGAGTGGTATTTCAGTATTTTAAATCAGGAGCTAACATGGTGAAGAACTAACGAGTTACCCACAAAATAGTTCTGAATTTGTCAAAGCGGCAGTAAAACGTCAAGTATCTTTCATTCCCCATCGAGAAGCCTATTTCAAAGATGCCAAAACTCCTGTGCACTTTAGTGCCTGGCATAGAAAGAGAAGATTCTATAAGACAGTATGGAAAAGAATAAATAAAACTGTCTTTTCACATTGCCTATGAATGACGACAGCATATCACTACACTCATTTTCTGAGAGTATTAACAATTTTACTAAAGAAAAGTTTATTAAAATTTACTGAACAGCTTTCCATAATGTAAACAAAACATTTAAGCACTGAGAGTGAAAAATGATCTATTTTTATAAAAGAACTAGATAGTTTTTTGATGCCTCCTCAGCTAAGCATAACAGAGAGATCCGTTTGTGCCATTAGTTTATTAGTTAGTGCTGACACCTAAATGGGATAACTACAAAAAGGATGACAGAAGAGTACACTAAATGCAGGGCCAACACATTCTATTTAGTACTTCCCACTAGTAGCACTGACAAAAATCATACTCCTATATTTACAGAAAGAGAGAGTATAAAAAATAAAACAATATGTGAAAGATGCAAAAAGTTTGCTGCAAACAGCAGATGAGTTACATGCACCCATGTTCCACATAGAAATTACTGACTCTTCAATCTACATTGAAGAGACATCATGACCAAATCCATTTCAATGAAATAATCCCAGTAAACCCTCAAACCAATAGTTACACTGAGGACAGGCCTCTAATCACACTTACCTAAATGACTGGCAACACTTTTTATTTATATTCTGATCATAAATATTATCTAGCAAATGAATTCATGTTCTTTCTCATACAACACAGGGGCCAATCCTGACAAAGCCTAAGGGGCTTATATCAGGGCTGCATATAGCTCTATTTACAGTAATATGTAACCTGACACACTCCCAAAAGAACTTGCCCAGAACAGTAAGAACCGTATTGGTTTGCTTTATAGTTAAAAAATATAGATAATAAATAAATCATACATCTAAATACCCAGGACACATGACTTGAAATTCCAGGTTCTTATTTTTCCTTTTCATTTTCAGTTTTAAAAAAATAAGGAAAATAGAGGATTACAAGTGGAGAAATTGCAGATCAGAGTTTCAGGTTTGTCTTCCTTAGAAGACGACTTCATACCAGAACAAGATTAAAAACCCCTTTCCACAGCATTGCTTCTTTGCAAGAACAGAGGATGCAGCAAATCCTCTCCTAATGTTAGGCAAATTACTTTAAAAAACAAAGTTAATGCAAAATCTGTAATCTAAATCAAAATCTCTCATGCCCTAAGAAACCAGTTACTACTTGTACTAAGAACAGCACCCATATTTGTCATACTGATAATCATACCTTTCCTAACCAGAAAGCTCTAAAAGACAAAGATTATCCACTTGCTTCCTCTCTTTCTAGAAATTCATAAGCATACACTGCATCAGATATACATCTCCTTCTTCTATCCATGTGATCAGAATTACCCTGATTTAAAGAGTTCTCAGAGAAAGTAAAGGGTAAAACAGCAGATGATAGAAATAGCTCCTATCAGCAGTTCCCATGCCTTACAAAGACATTCACAATGCATTCAGCAGTCCACATCTGGGAACCACTGTATGTGACCACAGGCTTCAAAAACAGACTAACAGATACGTTGTACAATGTGAACAATGCTAGTTTTTCCCACATAACTTCCATGCATCCTTACAAGTCCAAAATAATTCTCTGAAGATGTTTGAAGACTCTATTAATAAACACAAATTCTCCACTTTAAAGATGGCTGTGTGTTTCATGGACACTCTGGAAAACTCATCAGTAAAACCAATACACTACCATAATCTTAATAGCAACTTTTACATTGACATGCATAAGACTATATTGAATTTGTTAAGATTCAATTAAATGCATTAAATTACTATGTAAATAGCTGTTTTCAACAGATTACTGAAGCCAACAACTGAGGAACAGTTTCTCATTGATCAATTGTATCTTTCACATGTTTAAAGCACATCAGGGAACTACATGGAACGTCTTGTTAGCACAGCACATTCAGTTTCTTCATGAGGAGGAGGTAATAGCTTGGGCCAAATCATGTTCTTCGATGTGTCTGCATGACTCTACAGGAATCCCACTGCAGCCAACACAACCACCTAAAGTTGCCAGTAAAGGATAGCTTGGCCACTGTGTCGTACCTAAAACGTCATTTTTATTTGCATTATTTGCTGAAATGATATTTAAATTTCTAAAACTAAAGCAACTGACAAAATTAAGACCTACTGATCTACTCCAGTTTGGCAATTCAGATTTTTCTGCTTCTACATAAGCAATGAAATAATAAAAGCTACCTTGCAATCCTCTCTTGTAAATAAAATTTGGTAGTAGTCTAAAGCTACAGGTCTGTTTCTCTTAAAGCACACTACACTACTGTGGCTCTGCAAAGCTACATGAGTGAGAAAGCAACCGATTTTTTTTTTCTTTAGAAAGAAAACACACATAATGGGTTTCCTATTACTATGCATGTGAATGCAGTATCCAAAAGTGTGCCTCTAGCAGGAGCATAGTCTGTAAGGGAAATAAATATTTTTATTTAAGATAGCAAAAGCAACAATAACTGATTAAAGTGCATTTACTGTAAACCTTAAAATAACAGCTATGGAGAGAAAAAATATATTCTGTTCTAGCATTCTTTGTAAAGTATGAAAATACTTTATTTTGAAAATAATCAAGTGCTCCGTTTGAATTAACTGAGTGTGAGTGAATCTCAAGTATGGGGAGAAATTGCAATAAAAAGCACTAACAGGAATTTGTTAGCTCCTTCTGCTGCTTAGTTTCTTCATATATTTTAAGAAAATCTGCAAAGATGCAAAGAATCCTCCTGTGTTCGGTTAGCAGTAAGTAAATTGCTGTGGGCTCTGAGTGCTGGAATACTTTAGCAGGCAATTCCTCTCTGTCTTTCATTCTGTTTGTCTGTGTTAAATTCCCCCTCTGCCCTCATCCATTCTCACATCCAGTTCCCAGCTTTGTCCATCCATCAATCCACACACTTTGTCAGTGCTGACTTCATCCTGGCTCTCACAATCACATCCAAGCAAGGCTGCTGCCACAAGGGAGCTTTTCGCCTCCCATCTGCGTCTCCCTGATCTGCTGACTGAGGCCCTGACGCTTGTCGTTTTCTATTGCACAGGCAAGCAAAACCACTAATACTGAACCTGATTTCTATCGTGCAGCTTTTCACCTTTCCTATCGGGAAGAACAGAGAAAGAGAGAGACAGAAAGAGGAAGGGAGAGAGAGATGTTTGCTGAATTTTCTAAAACAATTCGTACTCTAGTCAGGTTGAGGCTCAATTCATCTTCAGCTTTACAAAACATCAATAGAAATCACAAGGAGAAAATGTATCACTAATTAAGGGTTGATAAGCTCTCTGTCAAGAGCACTTTAGGAGGGGAAAAAAACCTTA